AAGATAATTGATAGTGGTGTCTTATAATGCATTTTACTTGTTTATAAACAAAATAAAAGGTAAATGTGGCTTTCTAACAAGCAACTACCCTGCAGCATGCTTGATATTAAAAGGGGTTGAGCAAATTATTCTTGTAAACTTCTTTACCTGTAGCCAATGATGCTTCACACACAAATCATAGCAGAAACTATAGGGACTGGATGGGATTGGCAAACATCATCATGTGAATATTTGGGAAAAATGATGAGACTTCCTCAATTGTTCAAGACAAAACATCTTTTTCTCTAAGCTAGATTTCATGCTCTTTTAACTATAACACTTTAAAGACTTTATCTGAAAATTCCTATCCACACTAAATATTTATCTGCAATGTTTATATTTTAGCAGGAGCTGTATAATGTTATTCTCAATGAACAAGAGTTTTATAACCTTCTTTACCTGCCTATAACAATGAAGAGCCAAGTTGCAGGAACCAAGGGGCCTGTGACTTTTCCAGAGGAGAACAAAGCTTCAAAGAATAATAATAAAGATGTATATGTGACCAGCCTAAAAAACTACTCACACAGCATAATATTCAATTTGCATGGTAGGTTTAGATAGTATGTATGCTGTAATTTATAATATACAGAAATAAAAATGTCAGGCAATATATTCAAAATAGGGTCCTTCCATATTTTTCCCAATACATAAATTGACGGTTAGAAGTCTTTAAAGGCTACGCAGAAATAATAAATGAAACAGTGTACCCAGCCAGCACAGCCAGGTTCAGTGAGCCTGAGAGGGGGCAGTGAAGGATTAAGAAAAGACAGACAAAAGAAGAAAGCTGGGTCTGGGTGGGACGCTGTCCTCTCTGATGGAGAGCTAGCGACAGTGCCATGGACTACAAGCAGAGTCTTTATTTTATAGCCAGTTTCCTCAAGGCAAAGTAAGGGCGTGGTCAAGATGTTTACAACATTCTCGTGGGTTTCAAACCTACTCAATTACATGCACCTGATCAAGCTTTGTTTACTTGCTGCACCTCCCGCAGCCTATATCACTTTGCCACGTGGGACCACGGGTTCGGACCATAAGGTCAAGCTTACAACTATAGCCTTTGACTGTAATTGTGCTGGGACTTGCACGTGGCTTTGCCACTAGAGGATCGTGTCCTCTCATTAGTCCCAGGCTTGAACCTGTCCAAACGCTGTAGCCCCTCTCCACAAAACAGCTTAACTACCGAGTGCTAAAAAAATATCTTTAAAGCAACAATACCAGTAAAGCTGAGAGGAAGGACTAAAAGAGTTTCCTCAAAAAATTAAAAATGGAATTGCCGTGACCCAGCAATCTCACTTCTGGGAATATATCCTAAGAAGTCAGAAACACCAATCAAAAAGAATGTATGTACCCTATGTTCATAGCAGCATTACTTACAAACCTAAGATCTGGAAACAGCCTAAGTGCCCATAAGTACATGAGTAAATAAAAAAAAATGTGGTACATTTACAAAATGGAATTCTATGCAGCTATAAAAAAGAAGTATTTCTTACCCTTTGCGACAGCATGGAGGGACCTGGAGATTATTATGCTCAGTGAAATAAGCCAGACAGAGAAAGACAAATATGACATGATATCACCTACTTGTGGAATCTAATGAACAAAATAAACAAAATAGGTCCATGGAGGCATGGAACATATTGACAGACCTCAGAGGGGAAGGGGTGGGGGAGAAGAGACAATATTAACCAAAGAACATATATGCATAGCCCATGGACACAGACTATAGTGTGATGAAGACCTTGGGGAGGGGAAGGGACTGGGGGAAGGGGGAAAAAGGGGGAGAAAATGGAGGACATCTGTAATACTGTCAACAGTAAAAAGAAAATGGTCCTTTTAATTTGATGTTTGTAGCTTTGTCCTTTAGGCCTCCAAAAGTCAGATGGAGAGAAGATCTGAAAGACTCCTAGCTAATCTGAACACTATAAGTAGTCAGGACACATAATTCATGTCCAAATATGGGTAATTTTTGGCTCAAATGTTTCAATTTGGACTGTTATACAAGACAAGTTACTTGTCCTTGCAAATATCTGCTTCAGTATGTGATACACAGCCAGAGTTTGGGGTGGTGCGGGGGGCGGGGGAGAAATGACAGCATTTCTAAGTAAAAAATTAAATTAGGGGAGCAATAAAATACTACTATAAAGCTAACTCAAGTTGCAGACCAGATGTATATACTTAGAAGGCATATTGAGAATAATGGTAAGATACAAAACAGAGACAATAGCAGGAACATGCTTCTTTCTTTTGGAAGCTGCAATAGTGTGCAAGGCACTCTGTTTTGCTAGCTATCCTGAGATAATTCATTTTACATGGCAGTCTTGATTTTACAGCTCTCCACAAAATATATTTCCATACTTTGCTTTTCCAGTAAGATGTACAACTTCAAAATTAACTGAGTATCAGAAATATCCGTATATACGACTGCATAAAGAATAAGACAAGAGCACATACAAAAAATTCATACTTTTGAGGCTCTCACAGTAATGAAGATCCGATATGTGGATTAATTATTTTAGAAACTTAAATTACAAAGACAATGTATCACTTAAAGCTTATTTTAATTAGCCTTTACTATCAAATGTGCTTTTCCTCTATCATAACATGATTTATTTTTGCCTAATTTATATGCTACCAAATCCATCTACTTTCTCTTTAAAAATACTCAATTGTCTAACAGCAAATAAAGTCTTTTAACTGCAAGTTATAAACAAGTTATAATAGTGATGTAATTATTACTTATTCATCTATTATCATAACATAACATGCTTTTCTTAAGTATAATTATGTTACTCTAAGGATACAACATTCTAAAATAATGCAACTAATAGTAAGGATGCCTAACTCAACTAAACTGATTTTTCTTCAAAGACTATATGTGAATAAACATTTTAAATTTGGAATCCAACTTCCCATTGACTTAAATAATTAATAAATAGGAGAAGTAATCTTACAGAAAAAGAATTTACAAAAATAAAAAAAGCCTAAAATGAAACATTCTGATAAAGAAGGGATCATTACAAATTCTAGAACTTGTTTAAAATCGCCTGGCATTTTTGTTGTTCATATTTTTTGTATGTTAGTTTTTATTTTGTTATTGCCTCTAACAGCAAACTTCAAAGCTTGCATAATATGGCGAGGCTTCTGCCTCTCTTTCTGGCTGTCCTACTTAACAGGCTCCAGCTAAAAGTAGGCCAGGGCAGGTGTTAGCAATGACATGGCCCCACCACAGACTCGAGCCATCTGCTCCTGGTCAGGGCACAGGGGTACCAGAGAGCTATGCCAGTCAGAGCTTAGGTAATGCACAATCAATTTCTTTTCAATTTTATGTAGTTGGTAATAAGTACATGTGTGCATAATAAATGTTGAAGGATACCAGGAGTACAGTAGCTTATAGCAAAAGAAAGTCATAAAGTAATAACATTAAAATATTCAGAACTAATATTTATTTTCCCATGAAGTTCTATTGCTTCTTCTCAAGGCTTATCCTTATGTGGTGTTACTTAAAGGGCAGTTTCCCCATAAACATATCTCAAAGTTCGCCAGAGAGCTACCCTTTCCTACCTGCCATCATAGTGATTCTTTTGGGTTAGGTAAGAAAGATGGTATGGTGGATATAGGAAGAAAATGGGTCTATCCGATAATTAATGAAGTGGTATGAATTTATCAGATTAGCCAATTAATACTGTAGAAGAATTGACTGCTGCAATGGGGGCAATACTAGATGCTAAAGACAAATGTCCATTTTACAGTTTTATAGCTTAAGGTTATTCAGGGTGAAAGGAACAAAGATGTCCATAGCAACATTTAAAGTGCTGGCATCAAATGTACTATTTTATGCATAAAGGAGTTTGTAGTAGGTTAATGTTTGATATGACTGATAGTTTCATCACACTCAAAAGCAAGGGTATTATTAAAAAATGATCTCCCCATGCACTCTGCTACAGAAACTCATTAAAAGTTGCAAAAAAAACATAATTACTGACTGAACAATCACCATATTCTCAACTGTCTCTGAAGGTAGGAGCTATGGATTTAATCTACACTCCACTATCCAAAGGGGGATTCTTGATCAGTTATAATTATTAAAACAAAATTTTATAAGCATACACAAGTTTTTCTAATTATTTCTATAATTTCTGAATAGAAATGATTTGTATAATTTTACTAAACCATAATTTGACTGTAATCTGCTTTTTAAATACTACTTTTTTTTCTAGAAAATATTGTCTATTATTTAAAAATAAAGCTAAAGAAATTTCACAAAAAATTCATTTTATATGGGGAAGAAAGAGTTATAATGTTTACATATTAATGTTTCAGAACTATATTCAGTTTGCTTTTTAAATAAGTTTTAAAAAAACCTTTTTTATGAATTTACTAATTTATAAGATATATTTATATTCTAAATAATTGCAAACAAAAACCTCCTGTAAGGCAAGTCCCAGAACTAATCCATGATTCACAATCTAAACTTTAATTGGCACAACTTTTGAAATTCTGGGACCATATGGAAAATAATGAGTCCTAATAGGTCTAAGGTGATAGGATGGCAGGGGAGTAAGGAAGCCAGAAAACCATCAATTCAGAATGCTTAGCAACTGCAACACCATTTCCCCAGAGATCCAGAACAATGTGTTCTCAATGTTTTACTGGTTTTGCTATCATAAAACTAACCCGCATATTATTTCTCATTCTGTGTGAGACAATGATTAAAATAAAAAGACAAAAACAAGCCAAAAACTGGTTTCTATAATTAAAAATGAAATTGGCTGACTGCTAATAAAAAAGGCAGCAATTTAGAGTTACCATAACAACCTGAGGCAACTGTTGACTGACATTGCAATCTGCTGCATTTTTATAAATAGCAGTTGATTTTCCCTCTTTTATTTCAACTAGTTTTAGTGCTTATTGGAGGTAATGGAACAACTGTGCTTTATCACGATTTCACTCATCAAGCAGTGTACCTCTTCGCTGCTGTCTTCACCATAAAAATCATCCTCCAATTGGGTCACACTGGTATCCTCTGTTAGATCCAGAATAAATGGGCACCCCTCTGGGGACATGTTCTGAGTCTTTCCATGAGGTGCTGATCGTGGTCTTGATGAAAAGGTAAAAACGTCCTTTGGAACAATCCAGGTCTCCTCTGCCTGCTGGTCCTGCTCACTCTCCTTGCTGGTTTCCAGCCACAGGTGTGAGGTGTGGCAGGAGTCATCACCCAGAAGAGATTGTCTACTGGACTCCAAATGGGGAATGTGATCATCATTGTTGGGAAATACCCATTCATCTGACGTTTGGAAGAGATGACAAAAAATTAGAGTAGTGTTCCATGAATGTTATTTTAGGCAAGTAGGTTAAAATTTCCTGTTATTGAAACAGATTTATTAAATAACACAAAAGCCAAGAATGGCAATTTACCCACCATCTTGTAATCAGCCAAACATTTAACCCATAGATCAGTGCCTATAGCTCTGGGCAACTCACATACACTTCCTCACCATCTGAGTTGAAAGACTGGCCAAGACATTTATAAGTTTGAAATAATTATCACCTGTCTTGAAGCAAGTTCTTTATAGCACAGCTTCATTAATTTGACATTCCAGAAGGGGGAAATATTCCAGAATTAAAGGGGCTGACTTACTAATATCTTCTTTTAACTGCAGGACAGGGTGCTTAACAAGCCTCTTTAAACAAGTGTGTGGGCATTGTCTGGATTATAAATCATGGAGGAGAGGAAACCATGAAAAAGATAACAGCCTTTTCTCTCCAATCTATTGAATGAAACAGGAAACTTCATAGACTAAGCTGATTAGACTTTTCAAGTGATAGTAAATCCACAGAAATATTTGCTAATGTGACTGGTGGATTCTGCTGGTGAAAAAGACCTTTATATTTAATTTTAGGAGAGAATGTTTGGATATGAATTTTTTTTTTGCACAGCATTATTTGTTTTCTTTAAAAATACTATATACTACCACTGATATACATTTTTTTGACCAAAGCTTTAAAAAATTGCAATCTTTTCTCAACACTGAGGTAGATTTTATAACTATGATCCAGGCAAGCTAGAAATGACAAATCTATATAATGACATAATTAAAAGCATGCCTTTGTTTAGAATGACAGCAGAAGAGTTGAGCATTTTCTCTAACTTAGTTTATTTTTCATGAAACTTTTTTGCTGCATTATGTCAGTGGTGACAATCTTACTAAAATCTGTGGTCTGCAGAACCACAATGTGGACATGGTTATTTTACCCCTGATTCTTGAATCCTATTATATTTACCATCACAATAAAAATATTGTAGAGATAGCTAAGATTTGCTAACTTGAAAGTTTAAAGCTTTTACTACAAAAGCACAAGCAACAAACAAAAACACCTTTAAAAAATAACATTGATGACACAAATAAAATTGTATTTATCACAACTGTATTCATCGGTTTCTTAATCTAAGACTATCATTATATAACAGAACTTGCCTATAAAAAGGGTGAGAAATGTACATTTCTTAGAGGAACTCTATTAGGGACAAGGCTTTCACATTTTCAGGGACAGAGTCTAGGGAAATGGCCAAAAGGCAGGCTGTATTACTTCACCTGAGCACCTCCATGGGGATGTGAAGGGTGCGAGTCAGTGTAGCTGTGGGCAGGTGGAATGAATAGATTCACTGAGATGTCCTCTTTTGAACAGCAAACCCCTTTGCATGGTGCTAAGCACATAGCAGGTGCTTTGTAAACAAAATTGGTGCTTTAATAAAGGTTGAGAAAAATTAAAAAAAAACAAACAACACCCAATGTGTTGCATTATGTTCATGGATATGTAAAAAATAGGGGAGGAAAAGATACCGGAATCTTCATTATGCAATTAAACAACTTGTATGACCTATTGCCAAACATATTACTAACTGTCAAAAAGTCAAGGTAAAAGGAGTGTTTACACCAAACAAACTCTAATTATCTCACTACCACACGCTTTTTTGGAATTTATAGTTTTACCTCAAATATTTCCATATCAATGTAATGAATAATTTGGTGTGTTTTCTTAGAAAAGTATGTAAATTACTGTGTAATCACAATATTGCAGCAAACAAGATAAATGCAAGAATGATCACCTAAACATCTAATTAGTTTTTCTACACAGTCAGATTTATGCCGAAGACACTAATTACGCCTAACATTTTAATGAAGGTTTCAACATTGCATAAATAAGACTGACAAACTACAAACAATTATAATTTATTTTCCCTTTTCCCTTGCTCAACAAGAATTTGCAAAAAAAAAGGAACCCACGAAACAATTTGCCTTTGTAACAGTACTCCACACCTGCTAGGCAAGATATGTGGATGGGCTCACTGCTATACAACCAGCCATCTCCATCACAGAGAGGACTGAAGAAATGCAACCATTACCTCTGGGCAGGGGACAATGTCATGTGAAAACTTTGAAGTCTTAAACTTTCATTCTGAACAGGACAACCAGTGCATGAAAACTTGAAATAAAAATACTCTTTCATCCACTAAAATCTGACATAAAATTGGGGTTAAAACGATAGCTTTTAGCAAATGACTGGGTTTGAAATACTTAACACATTCATATCTTATTAATTATTGACAATTATGGCATAAAAAAGATGCAAACCTGATGCATCAGGAGACTGGGGAGCTGGAGTGCTGGGGCTCAACGTCCCTGCTCCTTGCTGGGACTCAGTGATGAGGGCAGCTGCTTTATCTCCATTCCTGCTATTTCCTGAAGAACTGCCTTTATTAGAATAAATATTTTCCATCATATTACTTTTGTGATATTTATAACAATTATTTTTTGAAGAATGGTATTAATTTGGCATACTTTACTACATGATTATTGTAAAGCAAGCTAGAGGTAACACTGCAGATTATATGAATTAATTTTCAGTAGAATGTATTAAGATGAACTCAGCGGCATTTTTGTGGAGGTGCATAATATAATCCCTGAATATTTGCATGGGGACATTTTAGATTTAAGTTTTACAATATGTGATAAAAAATTCTACAACCTATGTAATTTTTAAAGGTTCTTATATTTTTTTCCCATTGGTTCTACATAAAATGGAATGTTTTCTTTAAATTACAATTGTTACTGAACTCCCTCCACTCTTAAATCAAGATCTTTCCTTCAGGACCTTAAGAAAATGGGCAAGGCATTAATTACTAAAGAACTAATGTTTCTGTCTATTATTTTGTAAAAATAACATGAAACCTAGCAGGCTGAATTATGGCCTACCCAAGAACCCTACATTTTTGAGAAATTATGCTAACAGATGTGTACATGATACATTCTGGGCTTTAGGACAGTGATGGCGAACCTATGACACGCGTGTCAGAGGTGACACGCGAACTCATTTTTTTGGTTGATTTTTCTTTGTTAAATGGCATTTAAATATATAAAATAAATATTAAAAATATAAATCTTTGTTTTACTATGGTTGCAAATATCAAAAAATTTCTATATGTGACACGGCACCAGAGTTAAGTTAGGGTTTTTCAAAATGCTGACACACCGAGCTCAAAAGGTTCGCCATCACTGATTTAGGATAAACTAATGCAGGTGTATACAAATCTACACATACATGCCTCAAATCCATTATTTAAAAAAATAACTACAATAGCCACCTATATAGTCTAATGCTTTACTGGTTGCAAAGAGTTGAAATTTTAACCTACATTGTAGTAACAGATGGCAAGGAGTTCAAAGGGAGAGGCAGCAAATAAAAAAACAATGTGAAAAGGGCTCAATGTAAAAAGAAGAGCCATAAATGAAACATGAAAAATTATGGGTTAAGCCCAAGTTCAGTAAAGTCTATAGGCAGGAACTTCCTCTATCATATGTGGGCTTAAAAAAAAAACACAACTTAAACTTATTCAGCCTTTGAGAGTAGAAGCAGAAAGTCCTTTATTTCTGCAGTACTGTCTATTTAATCCAGCAAATCTCTCTTAGGACTCTAGAGCAATTCTTTTGCAGAAAATTTGATTTCCACAATCCCTATAGAACAGACATTTAGATTTTAAATGAATTGGTTCATAATTCTTTGAAACTTACAACCTGCAGAGAGAGAGATTGCATTGCTCTGAATAATATACAGATATAAGATAGCATTGAATTAGTGCCATACCGCTGGGTGTCTCTGTCCTTTCTCTGTTGGCGCTTTTTAACCGTAATCTTCTCCTGTTATTATTCTTATCTGCTGATGGTTCTTGAGGGGGATGTGGATGCATAATATGCAGATTGGCTGGTACATTTTCATATCAAAGAACAAAAAGCCAGAACAGAAAGTACTATATGGTTTGAAATAACTCAGTAAATATAATTATAGCTATAATGAGAATGTTCATGTATCATTTTGACATTATGTAAAGCTGTATAAAAACTTATTCCTTCACAGAAAATAGGTGTTTATTCTTATTCTAACACAGTGGTTCTGAACTTTCCTAATGCCGCGACCCTTTAATACAGTTCCTCATGTTGTGGTGACCCCCAATTTCATTGTTACAAATTGAACATAATTAAAGCATAGTGATTAATCACAAAAACAATATGTAATTATATATGTGTTTTCCGATGGTCTTAGGCGACCCCTGTGAAAGGGTCGTTCATTCGACCCCCAAAGGGGCCGCGACCCAAGGTTGAGAACCGCTGTTCTAACATTAGGATTGTATCAGGTTTTCAAAATTACCAATACATTTTATTCATGTGACATAACCTTTTAGAAAGCTACAAGTAATCTGATTAATATTAATCATGCAATATGCTATATTAAAAATATAAAAAATGAAATTGAGAGCCAATACCGAAAAATTATTGCTTCCTTTAGAAAGCATAGTTGCCTGGTTGTGGGTTGTGGGCTTGATCCCCAGTAGGGGGAGTGCAGGAGGCAGCTGATCAGTGTTCCGCTCTCACATGGATGTTTCTTTCTCTCTCTCTCTCCCCTTTTCTCTCTCTCTAGAACTCAATAAAAATATTAAAAAATAAAAAAATAAAAGAGGAAGTATAGTTAAGTATGATGCAATGAGAACTTAGAGGGTTGTTTCCAGAAGAACGCTAGAAGACTGATATCAAACCTAAAGAATTCTTAAGTATATTTAATTCTGTAATAATATATTCATAGCAAGCAGCATTTAATATTTACTGAATGCTTAATTTCTTGGCACAATATGACTGAGTTTTACTCATTAAAACCTCACAATGACCCTTTAAAGCAGCTGTTATTGACCATTACTACTATGGCCAGTAGTAATTGTATCCCCATTTTACAGATGAGGAAACTGAGCCTCATAGAGTTTAAGAAACTTGACCAAGGTCTCACAGACAGGTGGGGCTGGGACCGAATATCTATGTTATTCATTTCCCTGCTCAGTTTAACACTCCATGGGAGATATATTTATAACAGTGTCCATTAATTTCTAAATCCAATAAAATGAACCCAAATGTCTCTGTTTCAACTCTCACAGTCAGGCTAGTAAGAGTAGAAACACTGACAGTAAGTGGGTTCTGGTTTCAATTCTTTCCAATGATTACAGACTGAAAATCGCTATACATCTCTGTTAACTTAGAACTCTCAATCTATAAAATGAGATGAAGTCTTTTCTTCACCAACAGGGTTGTTTTAGTATCAATGAGAGAAGATAAAGAACACTTTACAAATGGAAAATAGTAATTAAAAGATAAAATTAAGTTAAAAAAACTTAAAATGCACATGAAATTACTAAAATGTAGTGATAAAAGGATGTTATATTATTTCCTTAGCAGTCATCATAAAGTAAAAACACAGGGTACTACAGGAATTTGAAATAATGGAATAAATAGAATGATAGTTTTCAGAGGATTATAATATATGTGTATATATATATGTGAATTCTAAACATATTTCAATATCTATGCAGTAATTATCTGGACTTAAGATCTAGTCATAAATATAATTTCAATTTTAACAAGGACATTTCTCACTATTTTCAGTAGCTACCAATCTTTATGCATGATTCGTTCTTACCACGAACAGGTACAGTCAGCTTTATTTGGCGAATATTTTCTTTATCTCCTTGCTCCTCAGACTCAGAAATCAGCAAAGCTGACATTTCTGCATTGTTAACACACCTCTCCACTGTGGACGGCTGGCATGATCGGTTATTTTTGGACCCAATGGATCTTATTGTCTATAAGGAAAAGTAATTCACTTGCACATTTTAAAATATAGGAACTGCATTTATTTTTAGAACCTACATAGAATAAATAATATTTAGAGAAATAAAGAGAGTAAAAAACTAGAGGAAAGGAGAAGGTTAAAAGTTGTAGGAGAGGGATGTTATGAAAGAAAATTAGAAAGGAGAGAAATAATGAGATAAAAAGACAAGTTTCCTAGACATGTAAATTAAAATGTGCTTATTTGCTACACTCCATCTTTTAAAAAAAATATATTTTGTTGATTTTTTTACAGAGAGGAAGGGAGAGGGATAGAGAGTTAGAAACATCGATCAGCTGCCTCCTGCACACCCCCTACTGGGGATGTGCCTGCAACCAAGGTACATGCCCTTGACCAGAATCGAACCTGGGACCCTTGAGTCTGCAGGCCAACGCTCTATCCACTGAGCCAAACAGATTAGGGCACTACACTCCATCTTTAGGAGGTAGGAGTTGAGGTGAAAATCACTGTGATTGTCAGAAATTCAGAGGAAATTAAAAATAAAAATATAACATTTGAGAATCTGTTCAGTATAAGGTTTCTGGTGAGGATCCAACTCCCTCCTGAAGGAGATCACAAACTGTGCCCACATATATTTTTACCTTTAAGTTTTGGGAACATATTTAATGAAAAGAATACTCAAAATTGTTAAATGTGTTGACACGACAAAAAGGAAACAGTTTTAAGGTCTTTTAAAGTCCAGAGTTTCTGTTCAAAATTTACTCAAGTCTTCCGCTTTTGGCATGTAGTCTCGAAAACCCCCTCATTCTACTGCATCCAACCCCGCACTGGAAACAACCCTCCCCTCCCTTGCCACTCGCTGGAGATAAGCTCCGGACACCTTGCTCCTACCTCACTGGATATCCTCATGTTATTTCTTCTGCCAGAGAGTGGAGGTGGTCCAAGAACTTTGGATCCAAAGGCGATATGACAAACATCTTGATTTTTACTGTTCCGCACACTACCTGTTCCTCTGTTAAGGAACTGATCTGTTTTGTTAAAGGAAGGTAATAACAGTAAATTAATAAGTGTAATGGCACTTATTAAAAAATGTAGATATAGGGGCCCAGTATCAGATTAGATCTGTAGAATTAGAATCTTGGGCACAGGGGTGTGGAAGGTGGGCAGAAATCTATAATTTTAACAAGCTCACTATCATTTGAGAACTACTACCACAAATATTTTTCCTCAAAGAAAAAGAGAAAGAAAAGTGGAAAACTACTAAAAAATACATCTTATTTTTCTCTTTAAGGGAATAATTTAAATAAAACTATCCAGCTCAACTGAACAAATATTTGCTTGAGTACTCTCTCAGGCATTTCCTAGAAGTTGTCAGTGACACAAAATAGATAAGACATATTGCTTGCCCTCAGGGAGTCTGAAGGGAGGTGGTAGTACAAGTAAACATAACTATAACATAAGGCGGGCCAGTGGGAATGAAGCATAAGTGACCTCTTGAATGGCCCTTGAATGACTGAAGAGTTCAAAAATAAGAGATGTAGGGTGCCCTAGGCCAGAGAAAGTGCCTGAATAAAGGCATGGAAGAGCAAAAGGGTAGGGTATGCTTGGGAAATAATGAATTTACCAGTTTAGCTGGAAGGATGGACTAGGGTCACATCGCAAAGAGCCTTTACATGCTAAGAGCTTATTCTCAAGTTGGTAGGCAACAGGGAATCACTGAAGGTTTGGGGGAGAAAGAGACAACTGGTATCACCTCCAGAATGAGGCAGGTATGCTCACCAAACCCTGCTGCCTTTTCCTTCCGGGCGCACAGATAAATTACATTTCTGAGCCTTCCCGGTAGTTCCATGAACCATGTGACTGAGTTATGATTAATGGAACGTGAGAAGGGTAAACCACTTCCTAAAACCTCCTGCATAACCCTCTGTGCTCTCTCTTCCCTCATCACTTGATAAGATGCACAAGATTCAGTGAAAGGCTTTTCCCAGAGAAGCCATAGATGAAAGGAGCCTGGGTCTCTGAATGACCCTATGGAAGGCTGCCTATGGAATGCTTGATTTGACCAGACTGTGGGGTTCCTTGTGACTGTAGTTTGCCTCCGCTCACCAATAAAGCAGGTGAGGGTGATGGGCCTTGTCTCAAAATACTGCCCATAACCTAAAAAACCTTCTGCTGTGCCCACTTGCAAGACAGGACCAACCTGAATATGAGTTGGCCCTGAATGAGTCCATATTCATTCCACAGTCCTGGACATTTAAGAGCTACTGACCAAGAAAAAGAACCTAATGAAATAAAAAGGGCTTCTTCACATATCCATAAAAATAGAACATCACAACTGCACAAACAGTATTTCCAAACAAGCAGCCATGATTAAATTTCCCTCATCAGTCCATTCAGTTCTCTGTAATTGTTCTTCTGGATCTTGGGTCAGTGAATTGCTTTCAAGAAGCCATCTGCTTTCAGACTACAGAGACCTAGAAACCCTGACTCAGTCCACTGTGTGGTGTGAAATTTGTCTAAGCACTGCCAGCTTGGAAGTCTGGATCCAAGAGGCTTTTCTGAAGTATCTATCAGTAGTTCAAAATATTACCATTGTAATTAGCTAGGTATTAAGAACAGGAAAGGAGCTAAGGGAGGGCCAGACATTGTAAGCATGGCCATCTGGGCAGCTTCACTAGCAAGCTACAACTTTACTCTCCCCAGGGAATCACTGATCCATTCCCTCTGCAGACCAATCACTGAGGGAAGGGACTGGACAAAGGGGAGATGGGCACACGCGCAATAAAGTCTGGGTGACATAGGAAATGTACCTGTCAGTCTAAACTGGGACAGAAATCATTGGCCAGAGGGGGTGGGGCCACTACAAAACAGTGAAAATTTGGAAATACATAATTCCCAGAGAAAGCAAGTTGATACACTTGGGACTCTTGGCTCTTGTTGCTCTCTTGTATTTGTCTGTGTTCCTAGAAGCTGAATGGCCCATGGCCATGTGGACCCCATGTCCAATGGAATGAAGGACTGCAGCAGTGACCACAAGCTAAGCTAGTCTGATGCTGGATTAGACTGTGGAACGAAACTGAGCAATGGCTTTAATCCCAGCTCTGCTGACGACAAAATGGACTTCTTCCTTGGTGGGACAGAGGTAAATGGGACCTTGGAAATTCAGGAGTTTAATTCCACAGAAATAACATTTTCTACAATATCTCCTCCTCTTGTACAAGTCTCAGAAAATTCCTTTTCTCCTGACATCTCAGGAAGCCTACTCCCACCAGCAACCGGTGGAGGCAAGGATAGCTCCCCAAGGATAACAAAACACCTGATCCTTTTTGAAAGTGTCCCTGAACACACAGACCTTGGCCTGTAGCTTACAGCACAGCCTTCTTGCTAGCATCAGAATAAAACAGAAACTGTCTGTAGATGATTGCCTTAGATCAGGCTGCTGTTAACAATACCATAGAATGAATGGCAAGAGAACAGAAAAGAAAGAGCTATTGGCTTTCTGTCTGACCTATTCCCCTGAAACATTCCTACAGATAGCTAGTTGGTCTCATTAGCCTCTGCTGTAGAGCTGCAATTTTACGTGTGAGGGAATTAAAAATCACTTTTCCATGCAATAGCATGAGAAAAAAATATAGAAGTTGTGAAAACATGCCATACTTAGGAAGCTCCAAATATTTAGATCTGAGTGGGAGCAATATGTGTGTGTTTAGGGTATTTCGGGTCTGTTTTTGTGTTTGTAATAAATAGAGGAAGCTGAAGAGATGGGCAAGGGCTAGATTGCTGAATCCATCTGAGAGACTTTTGCTGGACAGAAGATCTGAGGTGAATGGCTAGGTGAGAAGATAAATGATTCCAGTTTTTTTCAAATTCCTGAAGCCCTAGTAGGTAGAAGAAATATTCTATTTGTCCAAATGGCAGAATCAGAAGAAATGAGTACAATTTAGGCAGTGACTTTTCTGTCACTTAGAAGGTATTCAAGCAGACACCTGGAAAGCTCTTCTGTATATTGTAAGGCAGATTCAGATATCAGGTAAACTCCCTAGTTTCTATCTCTAGTCTGTGCTCTCTTTTGAGTTTCACTCCCGTATCCAGTGCCTTCTTGACCAGAGCCTCTTGGATGCCTCAGAAACACCTCAAACTGAAAACTTGGCCTAATGAGTGGTACACAAATCCATCCAAGTTGAAAAGTCAGAGTCTAGGTGTCATTCTTGGCATTTCCCTCTATCCTCTTCATATCCAATTCATGTCTAATTGTCTCCACCTTCTCCACCAGCAATGCAATCCAAGCGACCATTATCCCTCTCCTGGATGATTTCAAAGCCTCTCAAGTGATCTGCTGTATCTACTCTGGCTCCCTGTCCCATGCCTTCTCCAAAATATAGCCAGAGTGGTCTTACTCAAACATAAATCTGAGTGGGTCATTTACCTTCCTCACTTGAACTTTTCAATGGCTTCCCTGCTACTCATAGAATTAAGAAAAAAGTCCTTAAAATCACCTTCAAAAATCTGCATGTTCCGTCCTCATATCTTACATCCCTCATTTTCTGCTCTCTCAGCAGAATGACCTTCTCAGTTCTTCCTGCCTAGCAGAGCACCTGTACATGCTGGTCTCCGTGGCTAGAAGAGTACTTTTCCTCTTCTGCTCATGTATCACTTCCTCAGAATAGTCTCTGACGTCTCTGACTAGGGTAAAGTTCCCTAGTACAGGTACTTCCATAAACTTTCCTTTGTATAACTTGTCAGAATTGCACTTTTACATGCATTTATGGGTTTCTCTGATAATGTGTGCTTCCGTAGATATAAACTCAGTGGCCTGTTTTGTCACCCCTAAATTTCTAGCACCTAGACCTGTGCCTGACACAGAGTAAGTACATAATAAAACCTTGCTGAGTAAAATGAATGAACCATTAAATGTAATGGGTCAGAATACAAGTTGGATTGAATGACTAAATATTTCTAACTATGATTAGAATTTCATTTTAAGAAAAATCCAATGGAAGGTTTTATGCGTAAATCTAGGGGGAAGACTGAACAGAACTGGACAACTGCCAGGGAGTGGGGGATGAGAGAGAAGGGTCAACAGTGAGCAAGACATTGGTATTTACATAAATGGTGTGGCTCTCAACAGCAGCAGTGCTATGGTACCAGAGTCAGATGCCTATTCAGGTTATAGGAGAAATTTCGTAGTGTTAACAAGTAGACATGGCTATGTGTGAATCTGTATTTTTTTCCCCAGTCATTTACAAATATCCATTTAGAGTCAACAAAACACTGTTAGTCTCTCAGGATCAATAATGGAAAGAAATGACACACAGATTATAGGTATTTTGTGACCAGTAGAACAAATCCTAACCTATTGATTTTGTTCTCAAATGTGGATTTCCCAGAAAAAAATAGCCACTGAGGGTACTGAAGGGTTGTATGGAATATGGCATAGGCCTAGATGGGAATTTTTGGTACCAGAATAAGAACCCCCCTCTTTTTTTCCCAGTGATAGAAACCATGAGGATATATCTTTCTGTTCAAACATCTTACAGTGGCAATTTCCTTGATGTTTTTTCATATTCTTTATCTATATGCAGGTTCCCCCATTAAGTTCCAGTAGAAAGACCATTGATTTGGTACTGTATGTACTCCCATCTGCTGAACCAGCATAGCACATGGTAGACAATGGATAAATCTCACCAAAATTGAGGATAGTGTCTATGACTAAAAAGAGGATTTTGGGGAAGGAGTATTAAAAAAATCACATTGAAAAAGGTGCAACTGTCGTGGGATGCAATGTACATAGTTAATACTTTATGACATGTTTGAAAGTTGCTAAGACAGTAGATCTTAAAAGTCCTCATCACAAGAAAAAAACTTTTTTTGTGACTATGTTAACTAGACATATTGTGGTGATCATTTCATAATATATGCAAATATTACATCATTATGCTGCACACCTGAAACTAATATATAATGTTTATGTGAATTATAATTAATAATTTTTTTTTGAAAAAATCATACTGATACAGTTCGTTATAAT